CAGACAAGTCAACATTTAAACTTTCTTACACAAATGTTTACACATCAAATCAGCCTGGTAATGTTAATTTTGGTAAGGAATATCAACATCTTTTTATTACAAACAAACATGTAGAGACCTATTTCAAATCAGAAAGCAAGTCATAGATAGATACATCAATAGTATGCCAATGCTCAGACCTCCTGGGAAGCTCAGGAGGCTGCATTTCTGTACTTGGTTGGAATAATGCCGGTTTCCTCAGCAGCCTCAAACTCTAAAACTGTTCTATATGTTCTTCTTTTTTAAAAAGATCCTGGGTGCCAGAGCCATAATCCAACATATCTCAATATTTGCAGAGATAGGTAAAATCTAGAATGAACACACAAAGTGGTAGACAGAAAATAGACTTTAAAGTCCCACAGAATTACATTAGGGCCCTGCCATGTAAATTACTTAATTTTTCTCCACCCCAATTTCTTCATCTGTTAAAAAAAAAAAAAAAGGATAATGAGATCTATTTCGTGGGGATTTGTGAAGATTAGACAAGATAATATATTTAAAGTGTTACTCCACAGACATTAGTTACCATCTTTTTCCCTTCTTAAAAACTAATGAAGTTATTCTCCACAAAGAAGATTGAATAAGGATATGTTTAGTAATAAAAAAAAAAATCAAAAGAAAAAGTCATTTTGCAATGAAAATAGTCACCAAAGTACCAATGGAAACTCTAAATCAAAGACCTATTAGTATAGTTAGTGGTTACCAAGCTAAGGTTAGAATCGCCCTATAGCAAACACCCCCAACACTGCCTCTACCAGGCATACCCCACATTACAGATTCTGTTACAAGTTCCCCACCCTTGGTAATTGATGCTAAAGATGATGGGTTGTGGGGACAGGATGAGCTTTCTCCCCCAACCCATCTCCAGCCCATGCCATCCTCCCCAGCCTCCTAGGCTTGGGCAGAATGGAGGTAGAAGCCAGAGTAATAATAACAATAGCATCATCTCCTTCAAATCCTTTCTGAATAGAGGCAGTGTATAAATGTAGAAATAAACAAATTGCAAGCTGGGAGGCAACCACAGTGTATTATAAAAAGTGGAAAGAGTGTGGGCTTTGGAGTCAGCTAGATGTGCTTTCTCCTACTTCCTAGCTGTGTGCTCTTCGGTGAGTTTCCAAAGCCCCCCGAGCTTCATTTTCTTCATTGTCACATTGGACAATAATAGCTGCTAAAAAAGGTTATTCTGAGAATAAAAGGATACAGTATATGTAAAACGACTAGACCAGATTCCCAGAACTTGGACCATCATATAAATATTAGCCTCCTTTGTATGTTCACAGATACACCGACCACAACATAGCATTTGCTCTACTGGAAGAAGAGGAGAGGGGTGATAGAAATGTAAAGGTTACAAACAGTGAAGTAATTAAGGTATTCATAATGGTAGTAATAAATTGAAAGGACAGGCAAGGAATTAACTCACCAGTTGAATACATAGTGATTCAGATTTAGAAAGTGAGGAAAATATGGTATTTTTCAATAATGCCATGAAAAAGGGGAAGTGAGAGTTAAGGAGTTAAGGAAAGGCAAATAACTTCGCCCTTTATCAGGCTGACTTGGGCTGTATAGTGAGCTCCATAGACAAAATACAGACAAGACTGGAAGATTCATGTATTCAGTTAGTCCTTAAATTACTAAGCAATTGCCAAGTTAAAAATTAAAAAGAACAATATTTATAGTGGTTTTTATTCTGATAATAAAAGTAAGGAAAAAATCTCATTTTTGAAAATTAAAGTACAGAAAAGTATAAACAAGGAAATAAAAAACATCGAATTAATTTAAAGATATGTTATTTGTTCATTTGCTTGGTTATTCAATAAATAAGCCAAGCAGCGTTCTAAGTAACAGAGATCCAACAGTGAGCAAAAAAAAAAATGTCATTAACTCTCAGAGGGCTTACATTCTATGAGGGAGAAAGCATGCATAAGGAAAGTATAAGTAAGTCATTTGGTGGTGAGTGTTATTTTGAAAGGTTATCTAAGAGAGCAGAGAGAGGAAATACTGGGGCTTTAAGGCTGGGGGTCTTTTTATGAAAGAAAGAAAGAAGAAAGAGAGAAAGAAAGAAAGAAAGAAAGAAAGAAAGAAAGAAGAAAGAAAGAAAAGAAAGAAAGAAAGAAAGAAAGAAAGAAAGAAAGAAAGCCACGTGCACTGTCTCATTTGGATGTGTCTGGAGTCTTGGAAGCTCGACTACCCTACGTTCTCCCACAAACGGACCCTGAGAGCTTGTTTGAAGGTTCTGGCAGGGGATCTAAGGGGTCCTTTAACATGAGTGGTCACATGGAGAGGTGACATGCAGGCAAATCCCTAAAGATAGTGATGGCACCAGCGACATGAACCATTTCTGGTAGAGGGAAAGAGTAGGTGGAAAAGCCCACTGGAAAAGAACACAAAGGGCTAGAGTGGCTGGAACCAATGGTTTGAGGAGAGTGGTAGAGAATGAATTCAGAGAGAGAGCAGAAATGCCAGTCAGAATGGCCTCTATAGGCCAATAAGAGAGCTGGCTTTATTTTGGAGGCTTTGAACAGAGGAGTGACATGATTGGACGTGTTTTAAAGGTTCACCCTGGATGTTGTGCTGAGAAAAGAGCACAGTGGGTTGAAGGGCTGGTGTGAGCACTCAGGTCCGGGGGCCGTCTGCAGTGACCTAGCCAGAGGGTGACAGAGGCCTCAGCCAGAGAAGCAGCTGGAGATGGACAGTGGTCAGATTTGAGACAGCTTGAAAGAAGAGGTAAACGGATTAGCTGCTGGATTGGGTGTGGGTATGAGAGAAAGAGAGAAGTTCAGGAAAGATTTGACCTGAACCACTAGAAAGATGTTATTTCCCTTTGTCGAGATGAAGAAGACTAAGGAGAGATTTAGGGACTGGAGGCTGGGAATAAAAAAATTAGGATGTAGACAGGTCAAGTTTGAGATGCCTATTGGCCATTCACGTGGAGATGTCTAAAGGTGTCACTAACACTCACATACAATACACATGTAATAACAAAGTGAGATCATACACTCTATTCAGTTGTATAATCTTGTAGTATTTTTCCTAACCTTAAGTGCCCTATAAGAACTCTATTTAAATTTCACAACATCCCATTGGTAGATTTTACCATTCATCTCTTTTCACACATTAGTCTCACAATTATCATTATTATATATATTGCTTTAATAAAAATCTCTGACAGCCTCATTGACTAATTCCTTAAGGGACACATCCAATTATAGGGTCAAATAGTATGAGAACTTTTAAAACCCTTGATACATATTCCCAAAAGGTTATAACAATTTATAATCTCGCACTTAGGTACGAGAGTACCTGCCTGTTTAACAGTGCTTTTGCCTAAGCAGAAAATTATCATTTTCAATAATCTTTTTCAATTGTTGAGTACAAATGATCAATGTTTAATTTGCCTTTATCTGGGTGTTTGTGAACTTGGATGTTTCTTCATAAGTTTAGATGCCTTTTGAATTTCTCCTTTTATAAATCATATATCCATATCCTTTAAACTGATCTCTTTTGGAGTTAACATTTAACATTGAAATACTGATGACTATAATACAGCAATAGATAACACAAGTTGTATTGCTAGGTAGGACATTAAGCAATTGACATGTATTAACCTTCACAAACTTATTATTAATACTTAGCTTAGAGATGAAAAAATTTCAGACTAAAAAAAATGAAATGGACTGCTTTTTTTCTAGCTCTTTTTAAAAAAGCTTACTTATAAGATACTCTTAAAAACTGAGAACAAACCGAGGGTTGATGGGGGGGTGGGAGGGAGGGGAAGGTAGGTGATGGGTATTGAGGAGGGCACCTTTTGGGATGAGCACTGGGTGTTGTATGGAAACCAATTTGGCAATAAACTTCATATATTGAAAAAAAATAAAAAAAATAAAATGGGAAAAAAAACAAATAAATAGATAAATAAATAAGCTTACTTATTTATTTTTGAGAGAGAGAAAGAGGCAGAGAGAGGCAGAGAGAGGGAAACAGAATCCCAAGCAGGCTCTGCACTGCCATCGCAGAGCCTGATACAGGACCTGATCTGATCAACTGTGAAATCATGACCTGAGCCAAAACCAAGAGTCAAATGCTTACCTGAGCCACCCAGGTGCCCCAAGATGGCCTGCTTTAAGGCACACAACTAAGTGCTTGAACTGGGACTTGAACCCACTCTGATTCCAGAGCTCACCAAAGTAACCATATTTGGTAATTTGAGAAGAGAACAAGTTCAGAGACTATACAAAAGTTTGAAATGTAAGATCTGCATTTGCTCAGGTAAGAACTGACAAGGACAAATACACCCAGTGCAGAGATTTTATTTTAGCAGTTCAATCACTCTACTTAACTGAATATCTGTTTAAAGGCAAAGGTTCACAGAAGATGCTGGGGAAATGCACAGGAGGGCTTGATGAGCTCATTTCTAGAACACTTAAGCTTATCACTTCAAATATGGCTGCTCTATTTTCAGATGGAAAATTCTGCTAGTCTTGAATTTACCTGAATTATAGGTAAACATTATCACTATATTTTAAAAAGAAATGTTGGAGCACCTGGGTTGCTCAGTCAGCTGAGCGTCCGACTTTGGCTCAGGTCATGATCTTGAGGTTCGTGGGTTCAAGCCCCTCGTTGGACTCTGTGCTGACAGCTCTGAGCCTGGAGACTACTTCTGATTCTGTGTCTCCCTCTCTATCCCTCCACAACTTGTGCTCTCTCTCTCTCTCTCTGTCTCAAAAATTAAAAAGATAGGAAAAGAAAAAGAAAAAAATAAAAAGAAATGTTGAAAAAAAAATATGGGGTGTCTGAAAAGAAACTTTTGGCAGATGATTTATTTTCCTTATAGTAGATGCCCTCAAGAAATAAACAATACCTAGAATTAGATCTTTTTCCCTAATGTCATAAAACATTTTTAGAAAGGAAAGTGAGGTCCCCTCATTTTCCACAACCAGCCCCTGCCCCCTTGGTTTTACCTTCCTTGGCACATTTTTATTTCCCCAAATTCATAGTGAGCTGTGATCTTGCCCAAGGCAGCTTCAGCTTCATTATGATAATGCTTGTATTTCAGGATCAAAGCTTCACTCTCAATAAGTAGGTGGTTGTGCCTATGGCAGAGAATCAGGGACAGCTCCTCAAGAAGGAAGAAGAGACGGAAGGATTAGGTGAGGATCTGTGCAGGTTATACAAGGTATTTGCCAAAGCCCTGTAAGATTCCATTTTCTCCATGTCATGCACAATGAGGGGCAGCCAAGATAAGTAGATCTTCAAGTCACTTCAAAATGAAGACGAACCAAAAAACTACAGTCTCTGCAAACTTCAACTGTTTATAAAATTAATGAACATCTTGTTAACAGATCCCTGTATTGGCCATCAAAACCTTTAGGTATCACAGATGTAGCCTTGAAAAGTTGAAAGTGACAAGGAGAAGGCACGGCTGAAATACAGCAAGAACCTCGTTACAGCCCTGAAGGAGCTGACTGGGGGTATCATTGAGAGATCCTGCTCTGTGCTTAGGAAAAAATGGATTTGAATGATGTCATATGCTTCACGGCTTGCTGGATTCATGCTTCTTCTAATATTCAAAAGCATACGTGTTTTTAAAAAGCAGCTGAATCTCAGTAAAGCTATTAAGAAAAAAAAGGCAACTGGGAACTTCTCCATCCAATCATCAATTTATGGGAATTAATATAATAATTATTATCATAATAAAAAGTTACCATTGGATAGACTTTACTATGTACCAAACATCATGCTAAATATGTTACATGGACTATCTTCTTTAATACTTATTAATAAGTCTTTGAAGTAGATACTATTCTTATCTCCATTTTATAGTCTATATCATCAAGTAATGTGCCCAAAATGACATAGCTAGTATATGGCAGAGGTCAGATGTAAACTCGGATACGTCTCACAGAAAAGTGAAAGACCTAAATCATTATTCTGAGTTAGGCGAGAATCATTAGTTATAATTGTATTTTATAGGTTAGCAATAATATGTGCTTTAGATATTTTAATATATGTTTGCTCACTCCTCTCTTGCCATACATTCTCAGCTGTATTTTCTTCTTGCTTCCATTTCCTTATTTACTAATTTGCTTCTACTTCAGAGTCCTTTTTAAGTTCTAAAGAAAGAGCGTAAACAAATGAAATGAACACGTAACCTTACTTATAAGTATTGCTTTAAAGTCCACAGATTTGACAAATTAAAAACAAAAGAAGAAATACATTCTACCCACTGCCAAGTGCAAAAGTACCTCTGAGCAAAATGCCTGAGTATGTAATAATATATTCTACACTTCAATACTGAGTAAAGATAGGAAGTAGAGCATATAGCATACCTAAAATGGTATTAGCAATAACAGTTATTACCACAATAGAATTGATTCCTCCATTTTGAAATTCTGAAAGCATTACATAGAGTAATCTCTGTGAAAGCTCTTCAGTCAGCAAAAGTGATTAAGACCTTTACTATACATCTTATTCATAAGCACCCCTGAAAGCAGAGTGCCCACTCACAATGATGAGTTAGTGGGTCAGCCTGAATCATAAGGAAGAATGCACCTGACTGAATCACCAATTCCACTTCCTGTAGCACCTGGTTTTTCTTGGACCACTGCCATTCACAAACTGCCCGAGCCAAAGCCTAGTTAGCCTATGAAATCTGATAAGGTCACAACTAGAGTTGGTGTGGTAGCAAGATCCACTAGAGTGCTTGTGCAAGAGTCAGGAAACCCATTACCATCTGAAGCCAATGCACGTATGTCTATAGAATTTTATGATGTATGGCACCATAGAGACCCCAGTTATCTAGACAAAGCCATTCCTAAACTGCTAATATATGTCGCAGTAAATACCAGTGCTGTTATATTTCAAAATCATTGAGGCACAAAGTCTCTGATAAGTGTGGCTGCTGACCTTGTGAGTCATTTTTCACTCACTTGTGGCATAAGAATTCTTCTTGCTGGACAGCCTGAGAGTCTCTCCTCTTTCTCCTGAGTCTTAACTTAGTCTTCTCACTTCCACTCTCTAGGACTAGTGAGGGAGTTCTCATGTGTATGAGCTGAAGAGTCACTTGTGTGAAAATATTTTTAAATCATATTTTCTTTTCAGCTTGAAGAAGGCAAGTAATGAGAGAAAGAGAGAGAGAGAGAGAGAGAGAGAGAGAGAGGCTAATAAAACCCCTGAATGTTGGCATTTGCCTTGGAGAATAGAACGGGATATGAAACCTATAGATTCAGATTCAGACCACTAATATCAGCATGCCGATGGTGAACCATCTCTCTTGAGTAGATTTACATTTATTCAGCTCACAGGGACTGATCTATAAGTCATTTACAATGAAAAATTTAACTGTCAAAAAGGTTAGAATGATTGAGTTGGCAGATCAATACACTATCTCCCACAGTCAAGTGGTGTGGAAAGCCAAATCATCTTGGTGAGTATGGATGGAATCAGAACTTGAGGACTAAGAGAACCTTAAGTAGTGTAAGACATTCAGCCAATAGAAGAGAGTCTTACCAAGTCTCCCCTGATAATTTTGGCTTCTGTGACTTGGCCTTTTCAAAGCTTCCATAGTTGATGAGTCTTGTCATATTCACAGAGGTTTTCTCCAGGACAGGATAAGAAGTAAATGTCTAAGTTTCTTATAAAGTTAGAACTACATTCTAGTTCTCCTTGCTGATATTTCTTCAGTTTACCTTGATTCAAGTGTCAATTGTTCCTAAATTCTCCATTTACCATATTAAATGGCTAATCATAGCCATTGTGCAAGAATTTTTTAACTTCAATTTTTTAAAGTTAACCTTAAAAAAATAATAAGGGACGACCTAATTTCCAAAATCTTGGGGGACATCTCACCATCACCTCCAGATTTAGACATCAGCCTTAAATTTCAGTCCAGGATCTGTCACTAGAAAACTACCAAAAAGTAACTGACTAAATTGTGTCTGTCTCAGACAAATTTATTTAAGATATTATATTTATTACAACATGAACTGTTTTTAGATACACACACACGTCACAAATTTTCACACAAATGTCCTTTGTCCAATTATGTCCTTTGTTATTCAAGGTAACCCTACCCATAAAGCTAAAAAAAAAAAAAAAAAAAAAAAGAATGCCCAACCAGAATCTTCCAAGGTGATCACAAGGTTTTGGCTATTGTAACTCTAATTCAAAACAGAGATTTCCAAAATCTTTGTTCAGGAATAACAACTGTATTGCTAAGTGGCTCACGCCTGATTGTTCCGTCTACTTCTCTTCCTGCTTTGTGGATGCATTCTTATTTATGCAATCATGACATTTAAGTACTAGAAGAGACCTAAAGAAATTCCAGTTAAGCCTTCTGCTTCAACCCAACACCACATTAGATTACCCAAGGCTTACCTTTTCAATTCTTAAATATTTCCTAAAGCAAAGACCCACAATTTTCCTCCCTCATAAGTTCTAGAGTTTAATCAAGAAGTTCTTTATTGTGTGTAAACATAAGCTTTCTTGCGACAAGTCCATTTCTATTTCTGATCTCTATTGAAATAGGGAACAAACAACTTGGTTTTTTAACAAATAGCAATCCATAGACTTGAAAACCCTTATGTTATCCCTAATTGCTTTTCCCCAAGATTACATTCCCCACAGTCCTTTGTTTTTTCTTCATGTATTCTATTTCCCAACATTTTGATTATCTTTGTTTCCCCCTGGGTGCTTAATAAACTTTGTAAATCCCATGTAAAATATAAAGAGATCCAACCATGCTTAAAATGGTGTGAAAAATCACCAATTGTCACCCCAATTAATTATTTTCGGGAAAATGTTCTCAAATACATATTTTATCCCATCTCACATATCATTTTATCATAACTATACCTTCTAATTGATGCAGGAAGGAAAAGAAACCATAGGCTACCAGTCTTCCTATGGATCTGTCTCTTATTCATCTTCATTTTGGGGTTGCTGATGCTCAGAACTTTTGTCTAATATTTCCCTCCACCTTTAGCCTATTTACCTCAGTTAGGAGTCATCAAAATCCTACTGTTCAACCCAAATTCCAAATTCTTCCAGCAAGTCTGAAGTTACTGCCTTAGCGGCACTAATTCAAGTTTATAAAAAACACGAAGTCTTTCCTTTATGATCCTCGTGAGCATTCCTACAAGCAGCTTCAATATAGTGAACACATGATCATTACTGCTGCAGGCCTTTATATTAGATGTTGGATAGTGGTTTTAACAATCAGGTTGAGACAGAACCTTGAAATAAGAAATTTGTAAGCAATAGCAAGGAGATGTTTAGGAAAAGCCCTCAAAATTACCAGAAAAATAGAATGAGAAACGTTCTGTGACCGTAATAATCTGGGGGGAATTATTGCTAGGTTTCATGAAAATTCTTATAGTAACAATTGGATGAATCTGGGGGGTTGGGCACCGATTAGGAATCCAAGATAAGAATGGAGAACTAATATGGAAAAGGTGAAACTTAATTAAAATAGAAAGTCGCCATCAGTGAACAAGATCCCAAAATGCATATCCTCCTTAGTTCCTTTAGGTTATATTTTGATGATATATCTCATATTAAGAAGATACATAGCATAGTGCTTAAGAGCACATTGAGGGTCAGAGAGCCTGTGTTCAGCTCCTCTGGAAGAGTTCTGTGACAAACTTCTATAAACTTCAGCCTCCTCAACCATTCTCTCCTTCTTGAAATCTTTCTCGCAAGTACCTACTATATGTCAAGCATTTTTGTAAACTCTTCAAAAACATTGATTCGTTTCATCCTCATAACAACCCAATGAGATAGATGTTATTATAGACCTTATTTCACAGACGGGGACATGGAGGCCCAGGGAGCTAAAGTGAATTGCCCAAGGCCACACACCTAGAAAATGGCAGACTCAGGCTCTGAGCGCAGGTGATCTGGGTTCAGGTCTGCCGTTGACTACTCCTGCTAAGGTTGCCTTTAGAACTAATGGAAATAGCTGTCAATTGTCTGTCAAGTAATAAATGCTCAATAAATGACAGGGTTTGTATGTTTGCCTGTGTGTGGGGTGGGGGTAGCGGTAATTGTGCTCCCAAAGGTGCAGATTACATGAATTTCCAAGGCTGTGGGAGGAAGTGGAATTGTTGATCAGTAGGTGGAGCTCTTTCCTCTGATTAGACATTTACCCCCTCCCACCCTCTTCCCCACCATTGTGTTGGAAGGTGGGTGGGTAAGGCCCAATGCA